AGCTCTGAGCACGGCAGCCTCTGGAACCAAATGTCTGCATGCCTAGGAGACCTTTCTAGGAAGTCCATAGGTGGTTCTGCGGTTTGAGCCCCTTCTGTGGGTCTGTGCCTGCTTTAGCCACGGGGAATATGACATTGAACAAAACACAGGCCCCGCCTGGGAGGAGCTGCCAGGCCAGCTGGGAAGACAGACCTGATGAGTGAAAATGAGATCACGTGGCCTACATGCTCCGAAGAAGGCTGAGGCAGGAAACAGGACTATCTTCTCCCCACTGAATTGTCCTGGTATCCTTGTTAATATCAGTTGACTGTGATGTGAGATTTATCTTGGACGCCTCTTTCTGTTCCATGGGTCTGTGTCTACCTCAATGTCAGTCCCACAGTTTTGATGACTGGAGCTTCGTAGTCAGGTTTGAAACGGTGGAGTGGGGTCCTCCAGTTTTGTTCATCTTTTACAGATTGTTTTGGCAATCCCGGAGTCCCTTGAATTTACATGTGCATTTTATTATTATTATTATTATTATCATCATTATTATTATTTTTAGATGGAGTCTTGCTCTGTTGCCCAGGCTGGAGTGCAGTGGTGCAATCTCAACTCACTGCAACCTCTGCCTCCCAGGTTCCAGCGATTCTCCTGCCTCAGCCTCTAGAGTAGCTGGAATTACAGGCACACACCACCATGCCCGGCTGATTTTTGTATTTTTAGTAGAGACGGGGTTTCACCGTGTGGGCCAGGCTGGTCTCAATCTCCAGACCTCAAGTGATCCACCAGCCTCGGCATCCCAAAGTGCTGGGATTACAGGCATGAGCCACCGCGCCCGGCCTCTATATGCATTTAAGACCTACTTGTCAAGTTCTTGAGAAGCCATCTGGAGAGTGATTAATTTGTAAAAATGATACTTATTATCTTTTTGAACTGCCAAAGTAATATATGCTGCTGAAAACCTGGAAGACAGAAAAATCCACCAGAAGGCAGGGCTGTTTTTTTTTTTTCATATGTGTCTCTTCAGACTTCTCTGTGTTTTTCATTTTTCTTATACAAATGTGGAATCATTCCAGAGCTAGTAAGTGTCTGGGGCCACATTTGGCTTAGTACCTTGGGAGAAATTAGAGCTGGAGTTACTGGGTCATACAGTGTGCACAGGGCTAGGGGTTGACTTATTTTCCTTTCTGAATGAAGACTCTGAGGTCCAGAGAGGTTTAGCTGTGTGACTCAAGGTCACACAGCTAAAACGCTGGTGGAGCTGGGTCTTAATGCAGACCCTATGTATTCATGCCATGCTGTATTTACACAGGCGTGTGCACCAGTGAGTCAGGATTTTAGGGGGTGTTTTAAAATTCTGCCTGTAAAACCTTCTTTTTTTTTTTTTTTTTTTTTTTTGAGACAGGGTCTTGCTCTGTCACCCGGGCTGGAGTGCAGCGTCCCCATCACAGCTCACTGCAGCTTCCTCCCAGGCTCAAGCAATCCTTCTGCCTCAGACCCCCGAGTAGCTGGGACAACAGGTGTGCGCTGCCACACCTGGCTAATTTAAATATTTTTTTTTTTTGTAAAGACGGAGTCTCACTTTGTTGCCCAGGGTAGTCTCAAACTCCTGGGCTCAAACAATCCTCCCGCTTCAGCTTCCCAAAGTGCTAGGATTGCAGGTGTGAGCCTCTGCACCAGGCAAACCCATTTTAAAGCCATTAGCCAAAAATTATAAAAGACACGCAGAATATGACGAGTAGTCACTTATCTAGTATTTGCGGCATCTCTCGGGCTTAGGGTTTGCTGGGTGGTCTGAGGAGGTGGAAGAGGCACTGTCGCTGGCCTTACCTGGCTGTCAAGGGCTGAGTGGTTGGTGGAGGGAAGAGGTCTGTGGCCTGGGAGGCTGCAGGTGGGAAGGAGGTCAGCCGGGAAGCTGGGAGGATCATGGGGAACCCATGGTGGAAATCAGGGTGGCGAGAGAGTGGAAGCAGGCAGAGGAGGGCTTCGAAGACCAAAAAGCATAGTTAGGATTGCTGCTCCGTGTGTCTGTAAACTTAGTGTTCCCTCTCAAAGTTAGATGACACACTTTGAAAACAAACAAACAACAAAACAAACCCATAAAATCTCACTAAATGGCCAGAGCAAGTTCCCGGGGGGTGGGGCGTAGACGCAGGGGCCTGGGTTCTGTGGCTGGGGGAGTTGGCTTGGGGTCAGTGGCTGGGTCAGTCTTCAAGAGCCACCCTGGGTGGCACTCCAGGTCTCTTGGTCTGGGGCGAATACCCTGACCCGAGCAGTTTCACGGCCCCCTCCCCTCACAGCCTGGGGGAGAGTCCAGGGTCGGCCCTGTCCCCCTCCCCCCATTCCTGTCACTGTTAGTCCCCCATGCTCAGCTCACTGGCAGGGCTCCTCCTGGCTGTCCCCTCTGCCTCCAGTGCTCTTTCCTCAGGTGTCCTGCCTGCCTGCCTTCTGCCTTCCTGCTTTCCTGCCTTCCTTCCCTGGAAAGGAGCACGCCTGGGGTGTGGCAAGTCCTGTTAGAGACACTCATGGAACCCCCCACCCTCCCGTGGGAGGAGCATGGGGAGGTGGGCCCTGTGCTTAGGGGGTCCTGGGTTGGGGACAGCGCTGGAAGTTGCAGGAGGGCATAAACCAGCCTCAGAAGAGAGTGGGGAGGGAGAAGGGGAACTGTTCAGGGCCCTCAGGAACGCGCCATGTGAGGGTTGGGGGAGTCAGGGAGGATCCCCCAAGGGAGGCTGCAGAGAGTGAAAGAGGAGGGCAGGAAGCCAGTGAGTGTGGGGGTCTGTGGGCCATGGGGGGTCGGGGGAGGCAGCTCCTTGGGAACTGAGGGGGTTCAGGTGCATCTCTGGGACTCCCAGGCCAGTGCTCTCCCTTGCCCTGCCAGCCGCCTCACAGAGATGGCCCAGGGTGGAAACAGGGTGTCTGGTGCTGTGCCCCTGACCTTCAGAGGTGGCGTTGACAAGACCAGAATGCCACAGGGCTGTGCACCTCTCCCTGCAAACCGCCCTTTAATTTATTTTTACCTCTGTTCCTTGTGGGCTTGTGTGTCAGGTTTGATATTTTTGTGTTACTGGGAAAATAGAGTGTGCTTCACAGAAATTTGCCTTGTGGCCAGTGTCGCAGGTTGCAGCTGTTTCTGAGTGACAGGGGATGGTGTATTCTGGACTTGTGTCCTTTTGTTCATCTCTGAGAGGGGCCATAAACTCCCATTTCCGAGAGGTTACTGGGACCAATTAGATCATTGCGTTAGTTTCCCTTGCACAGGAAAATCATGCACTCCGTGCCATGGATCGAGTCCGTTTTATTTTGTGGAATAGACATGTGGGAAGCAGGATTGGCCAGGTGGAATTGTGTTCGGCGGGAGTCCTGTCTTTCCATAGGTACTTTCACAATGGAAGCAATCTTCTTCTAAAGCGTATCACCCAGTGAACTGAATAGAAAATCTGTTGCAAAAAGGCTTAAGAGGAAGGCTGGCCTGGAAAAATGAAACTCACGTCCACAAAGAGATTTGTACCTGAACGTTCATGTCAGCACCATTCACGGTACCTAAAAAAAAGGGGTGATAACTGAAATAACCATCAACCAAGGGATGGAGAAACAAAATGTGGTCCCCCATGAGATGGAATATGATTCAGCATAGGCACGAAAGAAGAATGGAAACATGCTGTAACATGGATGAACCTCGAAAACACGCTCACTGATAGAAGCCAGACGCAAAAGGGTGCACATCATCTGCTCCTGTTTATATGAAATGTCCAGAAAGCCAAATCCATGGGGAGGGGAAGTAGATTCATGGCTATGAGGGGGTGTGTGGGAGGGAGACAGGGAGAGTGGCTGCTAATGGGCATTGGTTTCTTTGGAGGGTTGAAAATGTTCTAAAATGGATCATGGTGATGGTTGCACAATTTTGTGAGTATCCTAAAAGCCATCGAATCACACACTTTTAAAGGATGAATTGTGTGGAGTGAGAATTCTGTCTCAAGGGTGTATACAAAATGCAGCTGAGGGTGGGCACACCAAGCTTGTCAGTAATGATGCATAAATCCCCTTTGCTGTCCTGGGTTAGGGTGGGTTGAGGCTTAGGGTGACCAGGGAGGAATGGACATCTTTATTTTATTTTATTTTATTTTATTTTATTTTATTTTATTTTATTTATTTTTTTTGAGACAGAGTCTCGCTGTGTCTCCCAGGCTGGCGTGCAGTGGCGTGATCTCGGCTCATTGCAAGCTCCGCCTCCCGGGTTCACGCCATTCTCCCGCCTCAGCCTCCCAAGTAGCTGAGACTACAGGCGCCCGCCACCACGCCCGGCTAGTTTTTTGTATTTTTAGTAGAGACGGGGTTTCACCATGTTAGCCAGGATAGTCTCGATCTCCTGACCTCGTGATCCACCCGCCTCGGCCTCCCAAAGTGCTGGGATTACAGGCTTGAGCCACCGCGCCCGGCCGGAATGGACATCTTGTAGGACACCTTGACTGTCTTGGGGTGAGGAGAGTGCAGTATTACCAATACTGAATCATTCGGCCCCCCACCCATACCAAGGTGAACACCAGATGCTCTGGTCCTAGTGGCTGCAGAGTTGTATAGCCTCTGTCCTTGTGCTAACTCGACTTGGTGGTGGCCCCAGAGCTGTGCAGCCTCTGTCTCTGCGTTTGCTCTGGTCCTGGTGGCCCCAGAGCTGTGCAGCCTCTGTCCCTCCACTTGCTCTGGTTCTGGCAGCTGCAGTGCTGGGCACCCTCTGTCCCTGAGCTTGCTTTGGTCCTTGTGGCTGCAGAGCTGTGCACCCTCTGTCCCTGAGCTTGCTCTGGTCCTGGTGGTGGCTGCAGAGCTGTGCACCCTCTGTCCCTGTGCTTGCTCTGGTCCTGGTGGTGGTCCCAGAGCTGTGCACCCTCTGTCCCTGTGCTTGCTCTGGTCCTGTTGGTGGCTGCAGATCTGTGCAGTCTGTGTGTCTGCACTTTCCCTGGTCACTGCCTCATCCCCGTGGCACTGGCGGAGTGAGGCCGTAACGCCTGCGTCTCCTGCAGGTCCTCCTCGACTGGATTAACGACGTGCTGGTGGAGGAGAGGATCATTGTGAAGCAGCTGGAGGAAGACCTGTACGACGGCCAGGTGCTGCAGAAGCTCTTGGGTGAGTCCACGGCAGGGACAACTCTGTCCCACCCCCATCTCCCTGTAGCAGCCCTGGGCTGGGCCAGGATTCTCTGCGTAGTGACATGGTCCACAGGTCCTAGGAGGACACTTGAAGCTGCAGTGTGCCCTTCCCAGGTGGTGCCCTCAGGCCCTGGGCTGTGGCTTCAGGGTCCTCTCTCTCCTCGCCATTTCTACAGAACAACCAGCCATGGGGCAGCAGCAGGTTGGCAACAGCTTCCAGAACTGCCTGCGGCTCCCATTCTGTTGGGGCTCAGACCCACTTTGTGTCCCTGCCACCCGCTTTCAGCTTGAGCTCCTTCAGCTCAGGATGGGAGGCAGTGGGAGGGAAGCAGGTCCCCAGCGATATTCTGTGAGTGAATGTGTCACCAGATACGTGATAGCTCACGTTCCCTCACCAGGGACAGGCTCTAGTGTCGCATTTGCTGGGCGAGGGCAGGTTAGTGATCTTCCCGGGACTGGCTGACAGATGGATTGATGGCCCAACAAAGCGGTTATTTATTCATCAGATGTTCGATGAGTCCCGAGTGCTGGGTGCCAGGACTTTGATCTTTGAAACAGACATGGTCCCTGTCCTCAGGAACTTACAGTCTGTCTGAAAAGACAAATATTTTCGAATAGTTACAGTTACTGTTCAGATTGCTTGTGATGAGGGCCTTCGGAGATGCCGCAGGTTCTGAGGAGAGGACCGTGGCCTGGGGGCGGGGCAGCCTTGCAGCTCACGCAGGAGAACAAGCAGGAGTTTGTAGGCAAAGAACGGAAGAGCAGAGTTCGCAGATGATGAATGAGAGGAATTCTCAGACTCATAGTGGGTTCTCACGGTGCCTGGCATATGTTTACACTTAATTTTATTTAATATTACTTTAAAAAATGTAAAGCATTTACATGCTTCACAAGTCAAAAGTATGAAAATGACATACCTTGAAAGGTCCTAGCCAGGTGTGGTGGCTCAGCCTATCATCCCAGCACCTTGAGGGGCTGAGCCAGGAGGATCACTTGAGCCCAAGAGTTTGAGACAAGCCTGGGCAACATAGTGGGACCTCGTCTCTACAAATTACCAGACGTGGTGATGTGCACCTGTATTCCCAACTGCTCAGGAGGCTGAGGCAGGAGGATCACTTGAGCCTGGGAAGTTGAAGCTGCAGTGAGCCATGATTGTACCACTGCATTCCAGCCTAGGCAACAGCGTGAGACCCTGTCTCAAGAGAGAGAGACAGAGAGAGAGAGAGAGAGAGAGAGAGAGAGAGAGCGAGAGATCTCACTGCTTTCTCTTCCACCTGTACACTCCCAGGTAACAATTTTCAGTGGATTCTGATTTTATCCTTCTTATGTTTCTTTACAAAAATGTCCATACACACAACTACTCATTTCCCTTTTGTTCCATGCATAAAAGGTGGTGTATTTTATACATTGTTTTACACACCTTGCTTGTTTCACTTAGTGATATGTTCTAGGAAGCCTTCCACGTGGAGACCACCTTTCTTTTTCTTTACGGCTGCATTGTACCCCACTGTGTGGATGTTCCTCAGTTTACTCACCCAGTCTTCTATGTGGGGCATTTTTGTCATTTCTAGTGTTTTTCTTTCACCAATAATATTGTGGGAATATCCTCGTTCAGATGTTGAAGAAACTAGAATTGTTGACCTCAAGTGTAATGGGTTGCTTCCTTGAGCTGACCACTGTAGAGGAAGGAATTATCAAATTCGCAGAGGCTTCACCTCTCACCTCTGGGCTTCCCAGGTCTGTTGTGCCTTGGTTGATCTTTCCTGTAGCCACTTTCTGTCTTCCCTGGACTGTTCAGTGTGCAGACCTGATGTAATATTTCCATTAAAAAATGGCTCCCTTGCTCCTGCAACACTCCAATTTCTCTGCATCACTCAAATGTACTGACCATTAGATTTGGCACCTGATGGGTCATTGGTGGCCCAGATGGGAGCCGTTTTAGCACAGTGGTGGGGGTAACATCCTGATCAGGAAGGGTTCAGGGGCAGAGAACTGTGCCTTTGAGATGCATAATTTCGAGAGGGAGAGAGAGGAAGGGAGTGAGGCCGTGGTTGCTGCAGCTCCTTTCCTTTTTGAGACAGGGTCTCACTCCATCGGCTGACCTGGAGTGCGGTGGTACAATCACGGCTCACTGCAGCATCCACTTCCCGGGCTCAGGTGATTCTTCCACCTTAGCCGCCTGAGTAGCTGGGAGTACAGGTGCATGCCACCATGCCTGACTAATTTTTTGTATTTTTTGTAGGTAAAAGGCTTTGCCATGTTGCCCAGGCTGGTCTTGAACTCCTGGGCTCAGGCAATCCACTCACCTCGGCCTCCCAAAGTGTGGAGTTTACAGGCATGAGCCACTGTGCCTGGCCATAGTAGCTCCTTTTCATGTCTGTCCACTGGAAACCATCCGAGCTGCCTGCTGAAATTACATGTGTGGAGCCCCTGGCACAGTGCCTGGCACAGGTCTGTCATCAATAAGCGGGAGTTGTTATTGCTGTTGTTTTTTAAACAGATAAATAAATGCCAAGAGCAGAAATAAGGAGTGTCTGACTCCCTGCTGGGTACCCCATCCACCCCAAGTCCCCTGGGTGACTGGCGCATGATAAACATTTGTTGATTAAGTCAATGAAAAAAATTCCTGCAGTTTCATTACCTATAAAGATTGTGGGATCCTCTTGTGGGAAATGAAACGGGGACAGATAAATGAGTATTGTTTGGATTTTTGGTCCTCAGTGCCATCCACAAACTCCGGAAGGGATCAGCTATTTGCTGAACAGTCTTTCGGTTCTCATAGAGCTCTGATATGTTTTCAGGGTCCCCAAATGCCTATGACAGTGACCTCAAGAACTCAGTGTCCCCTTGTACGTGGGATAGCATACCTCTTCAAGGTCAGCAAGAGATTCCACCCATGTCATCCCCAGCATTAGTGGGGTCAGCAGATCCTCTGTCTGGGGTTTTGTTTTTCTGCTCAACCTCCCTGCTTTGATGGACTGCACAGACAAGCCTCATCCTGGTGGAAGGGTCACCCCGTGGGCCAACCTGGAGGGTCACTCCCACAGACAAGCCCCATCCTGGTGGAAGGGTCTCCCCGTGGGCCGTCCTGGAGATCTTGGATGTGAAGATTTGGCTGTTGCTGGTGTTGGCCCTCTGTTGAAGCAGTCCCTCCAATTGGTACTTTGCTCCCTGCCTGAAGCAGATACTTTCTAATATTTTCAGAAGCAAACTTCAATGTTGTGTTCACTTTCATTTTTTATTTCTGATTCTTTTGCCTGCACCTGTGGCTTCTCCCACCCAATGAGTTGAAACAGTATGTCCGCAAGCCTTGTGTCTGGCAGCCTGGCTATGGAACTGGCCCTCAGAATCTCAGGACAGGCTCTGAATTTGCATCTGCGTCTCAGCCATGGTTGCCTGTAAACCATGCCAGTGCCTTCTATGGAGCAGAATTACAGGGGCATCTTTAAAGCCGCATCCTCCCCTCTCAAGACACATCCTTTTGGTTCCCTCTTCAGTTAGCGCTGGCAAATGGCAGCACTTACTCTGGAGTTGCTGTGATTGTCCATGAGTCCTGCTACCTCGGTTGTGTTATCCATAAAGTATAACATGAGGCTTCCTTTGGCTCAAGCAGCCTTTTTCTTGTGGAGTAGCTGCTGTTCCATCTTGTTTGAATAATGGCATAGGCACTTGAGAAGGCAATTCTAAAATCTGAGTGTCAAGTGGTTTGACATATTAATAGCACTTTTTTTTTATTGAAAAAAGAACAATGGACGACAATATTCAGATAGTAACAGAGCATCAGAATGTCTTGTCTGGTTTTGTGAATGTTGTTACACTGAAAAGACATAATATACTCTTGATGTGATATACTCTTGATGTGATACTACTGATGTGATCACCTGATCCTTGAGCTCCAGGATGCCAGGAATGACACCGATGTAGGCATTCAGCTCTTTGGCTTTCCAAGGGCAGAAGCCCAAATCAAATAGGAGATTTTAGCTAAATGCCAAGGTCAAAGCCAACTTCTGTGCATCTGGAGTAGAGAAGAGGTCTGAGGACTGGGCCTGGGCTGTCAGCCATTAGTGGTCAGGAAGAGGAAGTTCTGGCAAAGGAGTCCAACAGGGGTCAGTCACAAGGGAGGGGGAGCCAGAGGAGTGTTGCATTTGGGAGGGGTAAAGGAGGTGTTTCTAGGAGGTGAGAGGGAGTGAGAGGAGGAAAGAACAGACCTCTAGTTTGGCCATGTAGAAATTACCCAGAGTGAACCAGCAGGACCCTAGAGGAGTCCCTCTTCTTTTTTTTTTTTTTTTCTCTTGAGATAGTGTCTCACTCTGTTGCCCAGGCTGGAGTACAGTGGCGTGATCACAGCTCACTGCAGCCTTGACCCCCTAGGCTTGGATGATCTTCCCACCTCAGCTTCCCCAGGTAGATGGGACCACAGATGCATACCACCATGCCCAGATAATTTTTGTATTGTCTGTAGAGCTAAGGTTTTGCTATATTGCCCAGGCTAGTCTTGAACTGGGTTCAAACGATCCTCCCACCTTGGCCTCCCAAAGTGTAGGGATCACAGGCATGAGCCACTACACCCAGCTGAGTCCTTCTTCTTGAGAGAAGATTCTGAAAGCAACTCCTGGGTACTCTGCCACATGCCAGGTTTCTGGGGGTGTAGCTCCCCTGTGTTTGCAGTGCAGCCCTCAAAGTAGACTGCATATGGTCAGAGTGAGGTGCCCGTGCTGCAGGAGCTCCTGACTGTCATCCTGCTGCTCACTCATGGGCACGCCCTCTCCTTGTGAAGGTGAGGTTCTTCCTCACATGTGTTCTCAACCCAACATGTGGCCATCACTCTGGGTCACCTGCTACATGGGAGAGTCCTCCCCAACTTTCTCTCTTTCTGTGCTAGGAAGATAGGAGTCCTGGCCACGATGGAGCCCTGAGCTGCTCCTGCAGCCCCCGCCAGTGGGCACAGTGATGTCTGATGATGCAGGTGATCATGTGTCATATTCTCTGCTGCACAGGAGTCACCCAAGACCCAGCCTAAGGCAGCACCCGGGCATGGCCAGTCTCTTTGGTCTCTGTTGCCTGCTGTTTCCACCGCCAAATTCCTATGTTCAAGTCCTACATGCGGGGCCCACCCATGTGACCTCATTTTACCTTAATTGCCTCTTTAAATACAGGCACATTGCAAGGAATGAGAGCTTCGCCCACTAGGAGAGATGGGTAGCCTGGCAGGCCCCCACTGTCCCTGCTACCAGCCAGACCTGCAGGTTGAACCTTGGAACGTGACTGTATTTATAGAGGTAATAGGATAGGCATGGTGGCTCACACCTGTAATCCCAGCACTTTGGGAGGCTGAGGTGGGTGGATCACTTGAGGTCAGTAATTTGAGACCAGCCTGATCAACATGGCAAAACCCCGCCTCTACTAAAAATACGAAAATTACCTGGGCGTGGTGGCACACACCTGTAATCCCAGCTACTCGGGAGGCTGAGGCAGGAGAATCGCTTGAACCTGGGAGGCGGAGGTTGCAGTGTGCTGAGATGGTGCCATTGCACTCCAATCTGGGTGACGAGAGTGAAACTCCATCTCAAAAAAAAAAAAAAGTGATGAAGGTAAAATGAGGCTATACGAGTGGGTGGGCCCTAATCCAATATGTCTAGGGTTCCTATAAAAAGAGGAGATTGGGACACAGACGTGCACAGAGGGAGACCGAGTGAGGACACAGGAAGAAGACGGCAGCTGTCTACAAGCCGGGAGAGGGGCCTTAGATGGGTCTACGCTACCGGTGCCTTGATCTTGGACTTCCGGCCTCCAGAGCTGTGACATAAATCTCCGTTGTTTAAGCTGCATGGTCTGTGGCATGCTTTGTTGCAGCAGCCCAGGCAAATGAATCCAGTGTCCTCCGCTCCTCTGCCGACTCCTCTTCCTCCACCCTGGGTGACGTGGCCATGTTCAGTCTGCGGGGCTGGATGGTGGCAGGTGCAACGGGGGCGTGTCAGGCTCCCCTTCTCCCTGGTGGGTGAGGCTCTCGGACCACCCAGTTCCGTATAATTCTCTCTCTCCTTCCTTCTCCAAGCTGCCCTGCTCTGCCCTGTCTGTGGTTGTTGAACACCTGTGGGACCTACTTGCTCTTTACTTCCAGGGCGCAAATTCAGACAGACAGCTGTGGATGACTCAGCGAGGAACTGTTAGATCCAGATGGAGGGAAATAAGATGAATAAGCGGGAATCATTTCCACTCCCCTGCAGGATGCGTTTTGTTGGGCTGCTTTGTTTTTTCTCTTGCAGTCACTGCCGCTCAATCTGATGTTATTTACGAGTGTCTATCTCCCCACTAGGAACCTCTGTTATCTGTGCCATATCCAGCACCTAGAATAGTGCCTGTCCCATAGTAGGTGTTCAGTCCCTATCTGTGAGCCAACAAACGAAGGATTGAAGGGGTTTTCCGAGCCCAGCAGGCCTTGCTCTAGAATTTTATTATCCTGAAAGGGATACCAAAGCGGTTTGTTTTCTAATTGAGGGAGGGGAGGCTGCTGGGGAGATAACACTGAAGACATAGGGGCCTCTGGCTAAAATGCTTTCAACAGAACTTTGTGCTGGGAATCACTTGCAAAACAGAAACCCCATTTGTGACCAGCCTGGACTTGATTGCTTTCATGATCGCCCGTCAATGCCTGCGTCACCAACAGCAGCTGTGTATTGAAGGCTCTGTGCTGCTTGCAGTCACCCTCCCAGTGAACCATCTCATGATGCTCTGTGACGTCGCTTTTGTTGTTTTGCAGAGGGGATCTGTCGGTAAACACTGGAGTCTTAGAATCGAAGACTAGCAGGGAAACTGGGGGTCCTTCCTGCCATGTAGCAGGCATGGGGTGGGGCGCTGGTGGCCGGCACCTGCCAGTACCTACTGCTAACAAAAGGGAAATTGGAGGAGGTGCAGGCTCGGCTGGAGCTCAGCCTCAGTAATTGAATCTTGATGAAAAGTGACAGTTCTTGTCTGCGCTCCTCCAGATTGCTTCCTGTTCATTCTCGGTAATAAAATCATCGCCAGTTCTGTGAATATCTAATCTAACTTCCTATTGTGGTGTCAGAATGTTAGAGAAACAAGAATGGGAGCCTCAGGTGTGTGGGGAGGCAGAGGTAGCTTCTAAGACCTTTTAAAAAATTATCTTTATCAGTCCTCTCCCTTCTGGGACCCACACGGACGGTCTTCTCACCTTCTGACCCCCTCTCTCGTTCTTCCCAGGTAAACTCTTTGCCTCTCAATTGCATCTTGAATTATGTTTTTTCCATTTTATATGCATAGAATGTTCCCTAGTGTAACACCCACAGTTTTATCCTTAACTCTTCTTCCCTTTTCAATCTGGAGTCATTCTCTAAGGAAGGTTAGTGACCTGAAAGCTCAGAGTTCCATGGTTCAACATCTCAAGATGCCCCCTTGGCCACGTGGTAACTTGCCCCACTTCGGGGACCTCCTTGAGGCCAGGGTCAGTCCTGGTGGTTCTGAGTTCCTTCAGCATCTCTCTCTTTTCACTTTTCCTTCCTTCCTTCCTTCCTTCCTTCCTCTTTCTCTCTTCTCTTTGTTCTCTTCTTTTTCTTCTCTTTCTTCTCTTTCTCTCCTTCCTTCCTCCCTCCCTCCCTCCCTCCCTCCCTCCCTCCCTTCCTTCCTTCCTTCCTTCCTTCCTTCCTTCCTTCCTTCCTTCCTTCCTCTCTCTCTTTCTCTCTCCCCTCCCTCCCTCCCTCCCTTCCTTCCTACCTTCCTTTCTTCCTTCCTCTCTCTCTCCTTCCTCCCTTTCTCTCTCTCTCTCTCTCTTTCTGAGGCAGGGTCTCACTCAGGTTGCCCAGGCTTGGGTGCAATGATGTGATCTTGGCTCACTGCAACCTCCACCTCCCGGGCTCAAGCACTTCTTCTGCCTCAGCCTCCTGAGTAGCTGAGATTACAGGCATGTACCACCATGCCTGGCTAATTTTTGTATTTTTAGTAGAGACGGGATTTCACCATATTGGCCAGGCTGGTCTCAAACTCCTGGCCTGAAGTGATTCACCCACCTCGGCCTCTCAATGTGCTGGGATTACAGGCATGAGCCACCATGCCTGGCCCTTCCAGCTTTTTCTGACCCTCTCCTCTTGTGCTTCTCATTGCAGAAAAACTGGCAGGATGCAAGCTGAATGTGGCTGAGGTGACACAGTCCGAAATAGGGCAGAAACAGAAGCTGCAGACGGTGTTGGAAGCAGTACATGACCTGCTGCGGCCCCGCGGCTGGGCGCTCCGGTGGAGCGTGGACTGTGAGTTCCACGCCGTGGGGGGAGGGAGTGTCTGGAGGGAGCCCGTCCTCTCGACATTCGTCATCCACATTTGTCATCCGCATTCATCATCATCCCATCTGGCCTTGCATCTTAGAATTGGGTTCATCTCCCTGCGCCGTAAGAGGTAGAGCATTGCAGGGGAGAAGAACAGGAGAAGGGTTAGGGAGCTCCTAGAAAAGGTACCTGGTCAGGCCACGGTTCTCCATCCTCCCCACGCTGCAGAGGAGAGAGGCAATGTTTGTGGATGGGTGGCTCAGAGGGACTTCGAGAGAGAAGCAGCCTTGGGGGGTTCTTGTTGGGACTCAACCCCAAATACCAGTGGCAGCAACCCTAGTGGGCTGTTTGCCTGTGACCCTGGCATTAGGAGATGTGACATCATGGTATTTTCAGCCAAGACATGAACCCAGAAGGTGAAAGACTAAACCAGGAGAAAGTTCTCCTCGGTGCTGCCCACTCCTTCCCCACCTCCTTCCCCTTGAAGCAAGGCCGTCAGGGTGTGGCTTCAGGGCTCTCTGTGCAGGGCCAGAGGTCTCTGTGTTTTGGTGAGCTGGGCTCTCAGCGGTGGGCAGGAGACCCTGGAGCCTGGCCCTGCACCTGGTTTCTTGGCATCGAGACCTTGGGCAGACCCAGGCTGTCTCGTGGGTTGCTAGGTCCGTGGGTGGGGAATCGGGTGCCTTGTAAACTGTAAAACCCTGCGGAGGAGAAATGGTGATGATGACCAAACCTGAGTCTGCATGCTGAGGAGGAGAGAGGACAGACTCAGGCAAGGCAGGGGCGAATGGCTAATGTCCCCAGAGCAGCCTTCGCCCTTGGCAGCCTACCCTTGTTGGGATGGTTCGTTGTGTAGAGGGAGCCCTTTTTTAGTGCCAGAGATCATAACGCACATCCTTGTGATGGTTAAGTGGCCGTGACCTGCTTTCTGTGATCTTTTCCCTTCTGTGCTAATTTTACTATCCTGTTCCTTCCCCTCATCACTGCCCAATTTATTGCTTTTAAAACCATTGTGCTTCTAAAAGTGTCTGCACGAGTCATCTTAGGCCAACAAGAGAGGAGACATTGAAACCAGAAATGACTTCACCAGGTTGCTCATCAGCTCTCTTTACTTGTCCACACTTTGCTCCATCCTAGCCTTGCTGGGGTCTCATTTAGATGCTGTGTCTCTGTTGCTTTCTGCACGTGGGCTCGGGTTCCTGTGTCACCTGGTCTAAAGTGTCTCCTTTCCTCCTCCCTCCCGCAGCAATTCATGGGAAGAACCTGGTGGCCATCCTCCACCTGCTGGTCTCTCTGGCCATGCACTTCCGGGCCCCCATCCGCCTTCCTGAGCATGTAACGGTGCAGGTGGTGGTCGTGCGGGTGAGTATAACCGAGCGGTCGGCCTGCCCGTAACTCCGCCAGAGAGGCAACGTCTTCTTCCTCCTGCAGTTTTCCTGCCCTCCCCCTCCTTTTTTCCCCCCAGGAGGCTACCTTCTATTTTTCCCTTTTGACAAAATGTGTGTCTCACCCTGGCTCCGAGATAAATGATTGGAACGGGAACAATGGCATTGATTTGATGAGAGGCAGAAGCAGAGGCAGGAGGGTGTTGAGGTTTAATTTTCCACATTTTTGAAAAGAACATTCATTTCTCTCCAAAGCCAACTGGTTGGAATTCAATCCCCTTGAATGTGCTTATTACTCATTGGAGGAGGTTGGCCCCGCGGGATGAAACAGACACCCAAATTAAAGCCGCTTTGCATTCGCCGTGGATTATTCATCATGCCCCGTCATCTCTTTTTTTGGGTTCATTTCTCTTGATTCACTTGGAGAAATGGAACCAGAACCCAGGTCCTTCTTACAGAGGGTGAAGTAGAGTTACCTTTCTCTTGCCGTTTCCCTTGCATTTATTTTTTATTTTATTTTATGTTTTGAGAAAGGGTTTCACTCTGTCACCCAGGCTGGAGTACCGTGGTGCAGTCACGGTTCACTGCAGCCTCAGCCTCTTGGGTTTAAGCAGTCCTCCCACCTCAGCCTCTCACGTAGCTAGGACTACAGGCACATGCCACCATGCCTGGCTAATTTTAAATTTTTGTAGAGACGGGGACTCACTATGTTGCCCAGGCTGGTCTCGAAGTCCTGGGCTCAAGTGATCCTCCCATCTCAGCCTCCCAAAGTGCTATGATTATAGGTGGGAGCAGCCATGCCTGGCTTTGTTTCCCTTACATTTAAGTGGACAGTCGCTGCCTAGGGTTCATGTATGCAGTTTCCCTCAGTAAACGTGCACTGAGCGCCTTCTATCCTCTAAGCACTCGGCATAGGCTGCTGAGCCACTAAAGGAGGAACACATGCCTGGGGTCTGCGGGGGCGACCACTGCTGCCAGAATTAAGGTCACGCTTGGAACCTTGGATACCTCCGTGTTTATTTTACTTGAGACATCCGGCTCCACTTTCCTCTGGTTTTTAAACTTCTCGGTCCCGTGGTCTCTGTGGTCCGGGAGGACCTGGCTGCCACTGTGTTTTCTGAACGCATTCTGACCCCTCTGTTACCCTGGGAGCTCAGTCTTGACTGGACGGGAATGCTCCTCTCTGGCATCAGGCGAGGGCCACCTGCCATGTCTCCATGTTTCCTTCCTAAGGAGGATGTTTGTGGCTGGTGGTGGTGACTTGGGACCTGGGGGGCCATTCCTATGGCCCCTTGTCTTGGCCACTGGTTCGCAGGCAGCCGGCCTGAAAAGGCTTCCCTAGGACACATGGGGATATGGTTCCCGAGCCCACCTACGTCAGCTCGGGGCCCCAGGAGCCCTGTGCAGGCTGAGAAACCAGAGTATTTCCTTTCAGGCTTGCACTTGAGTCCAAGATAATCTTTGGGGTTTGCAGAAAGTTTGAACCAGGCAAGCACTTGCTGGTGCTTCCTGCCATAACGGGTTAGAGAAGTGTTGTTTGGACCATGACCAAAGCAGAATGAAATGGGAGCAGGGGGTCCTGCGAACTGGGCGCCATTACTCCCCGGACCTTAGAGCCGCCTTCTTTCTTCTCTGCAGCCCCCTGGCCTCTGAGCTTACTCAGTGGATCCCTTATCTAACCCCAGATGGAGTGGTTGGTGTAAGGGATGTGGCATTTCCAGGCTGGAAGGAAGGAAGGGAAGGGCCTTATTTACTGCCTGGCCGCGTGGCTTTAGGCTGATCACTTGCTTTTGCTGAGCTGCAGTGTTTCCCCCATAAAACCGAGATTTTACTACAAACCTGTAAAACATCCAGCTTCACGTCTCCAATCCTAGACCTGGGCCCAGCACCCGGTGGGTGCCTCAGGCACGTTTGGTCCGTGACTAGGTGAACACAATGTCTCTGGACCTTCCTTGGCAGGCACTCCTGAGAATCGGGTAAGCATCACCCACACTGTTGTTCAATAACAATCACCAACCCTGAGTATTCCCTGGGGGTCAAACTCAGGAAAGGGATGGAAGCTCAGATCTTGATGGTGTCCCCTGTGGGCTGGCCCAGTGGGAAGTGAGTTCCCGGTCCCTTGAGGGGTTCAGTGGTGGTTGGATCAGCCACCCAGACTCCACCTGGAGCTCCCGTGACAGGTGGGCTGCCACCCCTACTGTCACCACTGTCATGCCTCCCTCACCACCATCACTTCTTTTTTTTTTTTTTTTTGAGACAGAGTCTCGCTCTGTCACCCAAGCTGGATGCAGTGGCACAATCTCGGCTCACTGCAACCTCCGCCTCCTGGGTTCAAGCGATTCTCCTGCCTCAGTCTCCCAAGTAGCTGGGATTACAGGCGCGTGCCACCACGCGCAGCTAATTTTTGTATTTTTAGTAGAAATGGGGTTTCAGCATGTTGGCCAGGATGGTCTCGATCTCTTGACCTTGTGATCTGCCTGCCTCGGCCTCCCAAAGTGCTGGGATTACAGCCGTGAGCCACTGCTCCGGCCATCATTGCTTTTTGATACCTGCCACGCTCTGGGAAAAGTGTGACATATGCTGTATCAGTTTCCTAGGGCAGCCGTAACAAAGTACCACAAACCAGGTGGCTTAAAACAGCAGACATTTATTCTCTCGCAATTATGGAGGCCAGAAGTCTGAAATCAAGACGTTGTCAGGGTAGGATGTCCTCCTTCACATCTCCTCCTCCAGGGGAGGAGTCTTCCTGCCTCCTCCAGCTTCTGGTGGTGGCCATCAGTCCTTGGTGTCCTTGGCTTGTGGCCACATTTCTCTCTAGTCTCTGCCTCTGTCATCATACGGCTTCTTTGCTCTGTTTCTGTGTCTATTTCCTCTTCTAATAAGAATGTGAGCCATATTGGATTAAGATGGGACTCACCATAATCCATGATGACCTCGTATGAGCCAGTATCTGCAAAGACCCTTATTTCCAAATGAGATCACGTTCTGAAATTTGTGGTAGATACAAACTTTGGGGCACCCTCTTCAGTCCTGTGTACACACATGATTGCAGGGGACGTTCCCTGTTAATTATGTTCCTTCCAGTTGCATGCCTCACCTCTCCTGGCTGCAAAGCATAGAGGATCCCTTTGGGGAAACCTGACCTGGGGTGTTTCTCCTGAGACCCACACAAATGCCAACCCTCAGGGCCACATGGAGACCAGAGGGTGGGAGGAGGATGGGGACAGGTTGTGGCCGCTGAAAGGCACCCTGCGCAGGGTCCCCTGCTGTGCACTCACCCAGGCCTGGCATGCATGTTCAATATCACCCCTCCTCCTGTTGCTCTTTTCTAAGATGATCTCTGACCCCACAGCTTCATCTGCCCTGTCAGTGCGTCCTTCCTCATCTCTCCACTGCCTGATTTTGTGTGTTTATTTTGGGGTTTTCAGAAGCGGGAAGGCCTGCTGCATTCCAGCCACATCTCGGAGGAGCTGACCACAACCACAGAGTAAGTGGACCCCTGCCTTGCCCTTCCAGGCCCTGCTGCCCCGAGTGAGCGGGGCCCCAGGCTGCCACTTCAGCCAGGGACGCCGGCACACGTGGGGCTGCTTCCGCTCCACGCCCCTTCACTGTAGCATGTGATTCTCATGCTGGTTCCCACCCCACTCTCCTCCCTCTGCACACTTTCTTCAGAGTTTTTAACATTAGAACTGAGTTACCTTCCACAGCCTTTGAATTTTTTCATTCCTTATCTTAAAAGGTGAGCTTTAAGAACATTGCAAGGTGGGGCAGGCAGAGAGAGTTCAGGATGATTAGAGAGACCCATTGTCTCGGTTCATTTATCCATCTACATTAGCGCCGTCAGAGGCAAGAGTTGCATGTTTAAACCAAAACTTTCCTTTGACAGACACTACTAAGCCATCTCTTATCTCCTAGAGAAAGCCAGAGGGCAGGTGTTCAGAAGTCTAAAAGTCTTCAAATCTATTGAAAATAGCAAATCAAACAGTATCTGTGGTGTGTGGTTTTAAGGACTCCTTGTGATAACCTGCTAAGAATCTTTAGAATTCACTGCATTTGTGCCTCTTGACTAAACCTGTTTCAGATGAAAGAGAACATTTAAAAATTGATTGTCTCAGCTAATCCATCAGCTAAGTTCACAGAGTGATTAATTACTGTGTTGTGAATTCATGGATGGTATTTCAAAAATCGTAACTGACACAGGAAACCACTCGTGGCTTGCAAGCTGTCAGGGAAGATGATAGGACAGTGGAGTGCAGGCTGACGCATGTGCAGAGGCCCATGAAGAGGCCTCCAAGTCTGCCCCAGGCCCGTGAAGGGAACAGGGAGAGCTGGAGGAGGGGAGGATGAGAATGTGGTTCTGTGCCCAGCACAGTAGGCCTTTGGCAGCAGCTCTGCCTATTCAGCAGTAGGAGAAGGGCTGCTCATGAGGAACTGGGATTGGGCTGGTGTCTTAGTTGTTTATTGTTGTGTAACAAGTCACCCCCAAAGCGGAGTGGCTTAAAACAACATCTGTTTCATTTGCTGCTCACAATTCTGTGGGTCAGCAATGTAGGCTGGGCTCAGCTGGGTGGTTGTTCAGCTAGTCTCGCCTGGGGTTGCTGATATGATGCAGACACCTGAAGGCTGGTTGGGGGCTGGAGAGGCAAGATGGGCTCCCCCTACCTCTGGTGGTTGGTGTTGGCCTCCCCTGGGTCCCTCCTCACAGAGCTGGGCATCTTCCCAGGGTGCCCTCAGAGTCCTGAGAGAGTGAGAATGCAGCTGCAGGCCCCTTGAGGCCTTGTCTTGGACTTCCATACCTATATCCTCAATTCTGTGAGTCGAAGTGAGTCACGGGTCATCGTGGATCAAGCTGCAGGAAACAGACTCTGCCTCCTTGTGCAGGAATGGCCTATGCACATTGTTGGCTGGTGGGCATGCTGTGATAGGAGTCCCCCTCTAGGTGAGGGGGTCCCATATGAGGATAGCACGGAGGAGCTGAGGCCCCTGCCATAAAACTAGAATGGTCCAGAGACAGAGAATGAGCAAGTGGGTGGGAGAATGGCCTCAGCTATTCACCAGTGGTAAGTGGCACCGAGGGCCCACTGCATGCCAGCCTCCCTGCTGGGTCAACAGAAACACTGAGAGGTGGGCTGAGTGCAGTTTCTCTCCTCCAGGGTGACCCATCCTACTGATGAGAAAGGATGCATCCACAGGCATGCACAGTCCAACACAGGGGCTTGTGGGAAGTGCCTTAGGGCCCTAAGGGAATTTCCAGGAGGAGAGGAGCACCCCAAAGTCAGGGCAGGGGAGATTCCAGTGGAAGCCACCTCAATCAGATACCAGACAGCACTGAGCAGTGAGGAAGGAAGTTGGGATTTTCTAGCCTGAGTCAGCATCCCTCTGCCAGCCAGGGCCGGGATAGAGGAGAGGCTGGGTCACCTCTCCAGGCTGATGCCCCAGGTGGGTTCTCCTCAGGGCTGGTTATCCCATCCTGGTCTCCTGTTCCTTCCCCTCCCCATGGCTGCAGAGGCTCTGATGGAACATTTGAATCATCGAATGTCTGCTGAAAACCAGCAGCCCAAAGATCCACTTTCAGTTTCCTAAGGCAGCATTGCCACCTCCCATCCAGTCTCAGTGTTCCCCTTTCTCTTTCAAGAGGTGGTTATGAGGTCACCCCTTCCAGGAAGCCCTCCTGTCTGCCAAGCAGGAGTGCTTGACTTCCTGTTAGTTCCCGTTGCCTCTGGACACATGTGACCAACATTGAAATATTGGCTTACCAGGTCTCTCACTCCCAGGCATCTTGAGGGCAGGGCCACATAGTGTTTATCTCCAGGGGATATTAATTACTGTATCTGCACAGCCTGCACATAGTAGGTGCTTAAGTAAGTGCTTATTAAATAAGATGGAGTGAAAGGACTTGAGCCTAGAGGGATTTGGGGACAAAATAAAGACTTTCTTGCCTCTCAGGAAGGCAGTGCATGGAAAGGCTGTGTGCACTCACTCACTGGGAATCTTTGAGGAGAAGCTGCTCACCACTCCCGTCTCCCTCATTGCTTCCACTGCCGCCTGCCTGAGATCAGGGCCCGGCCTTGTGGTTCCCCAGGATCCTTTAGTTCCAAAAGTCCTGCAAGTACATTGTGTTTACTCCTGGAAACATAAGTAACCTGCAACCTTGTGTGTTTGTTTGTTTGTTTATTTGAGACAGGGTCTTGCTCCATTCCCCAGGCTGGAGTGCAGTGGTGCGATGCCAGCTCAGTGCAGCCTTGACATCCCAGGCTCTAGCAATCCTCTCACCTTACCACCCGAATAGCTGGGACTACAGCACATGCCATGACACCAAGCTAATTTATTTGTATTTTTCTTAGAGGAGGTTTTGCCACTTTGGCCAGGCTGGTCTCCAGTCTTGCATTTTGTTGTTGTTGTTTTGTTTGTTTTTTGAGACAGAGTTTCACTCTTGTTGCCCCAGGCTGGAGTGCACTTGTGCAATCTCTGCTCACTGCAACCTCTACCTCCTGGGTTCAAGTGATTCTCCTGACTCAGCCTCCCAAGTAGCTGGGATTACAGCTGCCTGCCACCACGCCCGGCTAATTTTTGCATTTTTAGCAGAGATGGGGTTTCGCCATTTTGGCCAGGCTGGTCTCGAACTCTTGACCTCAAGTGATCGACCCACTTCTGTCTCCCAAAGTGCTGGGGTTACAGGCGTGAGCCACTGTCCCTGGCCCAGCCTGTGTTTTGAGCATTCCATGGCTGCTGGAAGACTTGTTGTCTGCTGAAATCTTCGTATTAACCACTATCTGATTTAAGTACCTCCCCTCCAAACAACATTAACAGAGTGGTTAATGTGCAAATAGAGATGGTGATTTGCTGCTGATTTTGTACAAACGTTAATAATCCACACAAGCACCTCTCATTTATCATTAGAGTGGGCTGGAACGTAGCACAATGTGACTTGCATTCTTATCAGTAGGCCTTTACCTGGGCAGCGAGGGCCCAGCTTTCTGGCTGGCTCTATCCCTCATCTTCCATGTGCTGGTTGTGAAACTGCGTTCTGAGTGACCCATCTCATGGCTCTCTCTGTGTTCTTGTTTGCAGGATGATGATGGGCCGGTTCGGTAAGTAACCCTAGGGCAAGTGGGGAGACGGAGACGTGTTAGGGCTGCCCCAGGAAGCTTCCAGAGAGTATACATGGTCATCTGGGGGGAGTAGGAAACTGGGTGGGTCTTAATGCCCCCATAGTTCTGGAATCCTAGGGAAAGTTCACAGCCCTCTGCCGCCTTTCCGTATAACGGGCTTGTTTCTCAGAGCTGAGAGTGGCTGGGTGGTGCTAGGAGGAGTGGGGTGGAAGGCTGGGTGACCAGCTAGGGGAGCGGGAGGGGCCTGGGATGTAACACTGGCTGGAACTGTCAGGGGCTGGTGCAAGAGTGGTTGAGGGTAAAAGGGAGGGAGGAGAGGCGGCCAGCACAGCGTCATTAGCTGGTTGGAAGAGAATGGCTCAGCTCTGTGGATGTCCTTCCATATGTGTTATTTCCTCCTGGAAACCACTGGTTTAGCAGACTTCCTTAGAGTCAGGCAGCTGGGGCTCAGTCCTGGCTGGTGGCCTGTGGCCTGCCCCTTCCTCTCTGCTCCTCATCTGAGAAATGGGAGTATGAAAGGCTCTCCCCAGGCAGAAGCTGCTGTGAGGATTGGGTGAGATCACAGGTGAGTGCCCTGCTTGGCCAGGGGACAGCCCTTTATGTGGGGTAGTTTTATTAGTGTTGGTTTTCAGTGGCTATTCCCAAAGAGAGAGGCAATTACTCTGCCTTCCCCCATTAGAGCCTGAGACCTCATCGTCATCTCAGTGAGGGATGGCAGTGTTTCAACCCTCAGAACCAGGATACCCCGGCCCTCAACCTGGCCAGGCTCGGTGCTTTGGGAAGCATTTCAAAAGAGAAACCTCTTGACCCCCAAATACCATGTTCTCCAGTGAGCAGGGAGAGGAGAACAGCTCTTAAAAGGAAAAATGGAAACCAAACACAAGTTTCCCACCTGCCTCTCCAGCCTGCCAGCCTGGAGCTGATGTCTGTCTTTTTGGGGCCCTTGGGGTGGGAGTGCCACCCCCTGAGTTCTATAGAACGAGGGCTGGGCCAGCTCGGCCATAGGGCTCTGTAACCTCAAAGTTATGGGGACCAGCTAGGATGCCATTGCTGCTTATCTGTTGTATTAAGATTCTCTAGAGGGACAGAACTAATAGGATAGATATATACAAAGGGGAGTTTACTAAAGGTATTAACTCACACAATCACAAGTCCCACAATAGCCCTTCTGTAAGCCGAGGAACAGGGAAGCCAGTCTGAGTCCCAAAGCTGAAGAACTTAGAGTTTGATGTTTGAGGGCAGGAAACATCCAGCATGGGAGAAAGATGGAGGCTGGGAGGCTAAGCCAGTCTAGTCTTTTCATGTTCTTCTGCCTGCTTTTTATTCTGGCTGTGCTGGCAGCCGATTAGATGGTGCCCACCTAGATTAAGGGTGGGTCTGCCTTTCCCAGTCCACTGACTCAAATGTTAATCTCCTTTGGCAACACCCTCTCAGACACACCCAGGGACCACACCTCGCATCCTTCAATCCGATCCAGCTGACGCTCAGTATCAACCATCACGCCTATGGAGAGGGGAAGGGGCCCAGATCCTGCGGGGCTCGAATTGAGAAGAGGCAGCCAGTGTGTGTCCCCTCGGCTTTCTTTGCTAGACCTTAAGCTGTGCTGGGAACGTTCACAGGCCTTCACTGTTTTTTGTTTGTTTTTTGTTTTTTTTTTAAAAGGATAATTCCAGCTCTTTAAAAATGTCTCTATTATTAAAAAACAAATGCAGGAAGAGAAAGAGAAATGTCCTGTGGTCCTGTATATAGTTGCTGAGGGAGGTGAAAGCACAGTGGGGTCACAGCTCATGGGGCCAGGATGAGGCATCTCCCATCCTGCGTCTAGGTAGAAGTGCACTTTGGGGGCACAGTGCCCCACTCTATCACCTCCTCTCCACCCTTTCTTCCTGGAGGAGGCTCAGAACCCCTTTGGAATTGTAGAGGCCTAAAGATGAGGAGAGGGCCGGGTGCAGTGGCTCATGCCTGTAATCTCAGCACTTTGGGAGGCCCAGGTGGATGGATCCTGAGGTCAGGAGATCGAGACCATCCTGGCTAACATGGTGAAACCCCATCTCTACTAAAAATACAAAAAAATTAGCTGGGCGTGGTGTCGGGCACCTGTAGTCCCAGTTACTGCGGAGGCTGAGGCAAGACAATCGCTTGAACGCAGGAGGTGGAGGTCGCAGTGAGCCTGGATCACGCCACTGCACTCCAGCCTGAGTGATAAAGCGAGACTCTGTCTAAAAAAAAAAAAAAAAGAAAAAAAAAAGAAGAGATTGGGTCCCTCAAGCATTTTTGAGTCTTTTTGGTTTTTGTGGCGCTGTCACTTTTGTGCTTGGTTCGGGCCTCGTTGGAGGTTTAGGGAAAAGACAGTCTGGTCAGTTCAGTTGGGAGCACATGGGCCTCAGGCTGTGTGTAGCACCCTGTGGCCCGAGGGCCCAGAAGCCTGGCCCCGGAGCCCCTGCCACCCCAGGAATGAGCTTTCGGGTCTGGTGTGCAGGGCGGTGGCTCCTTCGGTAAGAGCCAGGTGTCACGTGTGAAAAGTGGACCCAGCTGCCACTCCAGGGATGGGAGGACTGTGGAATCGCAAGACCAATTTGTACAAGAGGCCGATGGAGTTGTTCTCGTTACTTTGTAGGCTTTATGCGCTGTGCTTGAGAAAATGCAAACAGGCTATTAGTCAGTGACAGGCAATTAGTTCCGCCCCCAGCCTTGCTGCTGCTGCTGACGCAGGTTCCGAAGTCTCCTGGTTACCCAGCCTGGCACCCTCAGGCACGGCAGGGCGTCTGGCCTGGCACCCGCTCCTGTGGGGGCAGCAGCATGCCTTGTCTTGGCTTCCCTGCTATGCCACTCACCTCCTTCAGACCTTGAGAGCACCCCACGGCGCTTTCTCCTCCAGCAACCTTCACCTGAATGCTCTCCCTCTAGATTACCCCATGACTCACTCTTGCAGTTCTGCCAACTCTTGGTTCAAATGTCACTGATCAGGCAGGCCCTCTCTGACTCCACTGCCCCAAACTGGCCTCCACTGGCTCTCCTCCCCACCCCTGCCTTAGTTCTTTCTGTTCTCATGTGATGCACCAAGCAGCGAGACTCTGCTCATGGGGAAGGCCTGGCTCCTCTGCCCTGCGCCACTGTTTACACAACGAAGTCTACACGTGTCTGGCAGATACTGGTGCCGGCAAACTTTCAGGGGCACCCACAGCCCCTGCCTTTCTCCTTTCACACGTGGCTCCTTGACCGAGAGGTGCTCTGTGGGCCAGAGCTGACCTTTCCTCAGGGTGCACCCCACCCCTGACCAGAGCAGCCAGCCCTGGCCACAGTCTGCACACAGCTGGTGCCAGATGTTCTAGGAGCTTCTGGAAGGCTGGGTTTTGCCAGGAGCGGTCTTCTGGGCCTGTTTCCCCATGAGCACCCTGAGCCAGGGAGGGATGGGGGCTCCGTTCTGCCCACTCCCCATCATCCCAGCGAGGGAGGTGGCTCCACAGGTCCTTGCTGCCTCCTGACAGCATCACTGTCCTGGCCGAGGTGGGTGAGGAGGCTTCTCTCCACAGAAACGAGTCCCAGGGGGAGCTGAGGAGGTTGCAGCCTGGTCTCCATGGCAACAGGTGAGCTGGTGCAGCTTCTCCATGGACGCCCTTCCCCTTCCAGGGTCTGCCCTTCCCCCTCCTGGGTCTGCCCTGGGCTGGAGGCCCTACCTGAGGCATGAGGGGAAAGAGGGGGGATGTTCCTTCCTCACCCTCTTCCCCCTCATTATATAACTCCTAGTAATACCCCTTCAAGTCTCTCCCATTTCTGCTAACAGGGCTTGTTCCAAAAACTCTGGCTCCGTCCCATCACCCCTGGCTCCTGACTGTGCCCTCCACAACCCCACATTGCAGGCCACAGCCCCTGTTAACCCCTCTCACAGGCCACCTGGCTCTTGAACCTGCACTGGGCTTTCTGGCATCTCTCCTTGTGCCTGCTGCTCCCTTGGTGAAACGCCTTTCCTCCTCCTCTTGCCCCAGCAAGCCTGGTTTGGACCCCAGGCTGCTTTGTGAAGTCTTCCTCAGGTCCCCCAGCCCTTGGTTCGTGGGTCCCAGACTCAGGTGCCTCCAGGGACCAGGTTGATAATATAAAACAGGAGAGTAGCTAGATTATACAATGATAACATCAGCTGCCCCTTCACCCTGGGGTGGCAGTGGGGAGTGGTGGGGTCTGGGGCAAACTGGAGAGCCCACACCCCCATCCCCAGGGGCAGCTCATTGCTGCCAGGTGGGAGTGCAGGCTCCCTGTTGCCACAGACTCCAGTTCTTCAAGAGAAGCCAGAAGTTCAGAACTTTTGCACAGACCTTCCCATTTAAGAACTGTTGACTCTGGCCAGGTACCATGGCTCACACCTGTAGTCCCAGCACTTTGGGAGGCTGAGGCGGGTGGATAACTTGTGGTCAGGAGTTCAAGACCAGCCTTACCAACATGGCAAAACCCCGTCTCTACTAAAAACACAAAAATTTTTATGCACGCCTGTAGTCCCAGCTATTCAGGAGGTTGAGGCAAGAGAATTGCTTGAACCCGGGAGGTGTAGATTGCAGTGAGCCAAGATCGTGCCAGTGCACTCCAGCCTGGGTGACAGAGTGAGACTCTGTCTCAAAGAGCAAAAACCAAGACCAAAACAAACAAAACAAATAAACACTGTTGACTCAAATGAAAACATTACAGGGACCAAGCTGAGCGTTCCTGCAGGTTGAACCTGGTCAGCCCTGGCATGCTCAGGTTGGTTGGCCCCGTCCGGATTCCTCTTTTCTGACACTAACAGGGTTGCACTACCATAGTTTACTCTCTCTCCCGGCCCTCCCCCAAGTCTGTGTCTCTTCCAAGAGCGGGGCTCCTCCTTGTTTATCCCTGTGATGTCCCCAGAGCCTGCGGAAGCTCTGGGGGACAGGACAAGAGGGAGCTGTAAGGACTGAGGGCCGACAATGCTCCTGCCAGGCTCCGTGCTCCTGCCTCTACTCACTGCCCCACTTAGTTCCACACCAAGGCGAGGCAGGGGCTGTCACAATGCTGCCTTTACAGAGGAAGAAATGGGGTTGGAGAGGGAAGGATTTGCCCAAAGGCATGGGGTGTGAAGTCGGGCAGCTAGAACAAAATAGGATCTATTTTCGTTCCCAAGGCCAAGCACATCACAGCAGTGCAGTATGCTTTCTCTCTCTCTCTCTCTCCCAGGTCAGGGTGGTCCCTGGGGAGGCCCTTGGGTACCCCAGACAGGTGGGAGGAGCTTCCTACCCCACCCTCTTCCTGTCAAGCTGGGCTCCACAGCTCCCGGGGCTGCTGCTTGGGTTGGGGTCCCAGACTGACTGGTAACAGAGGGTCCCTCCGCTGGACTCGAGCTTCTGAGCATGCTCTGCCCCCAGGAATCTGGAGGATGGAAGTTGGGGGCCCTAGGTCCCTTCCAAATGCCCTGGGTCCTGTGCCCTGGGTCCCCAGTGCCCATTTTCAGAGCCCCCAGCCCCTCCCTGCCATGTGGACCGTGTGACGTGATGCCAGTCCCCCGGGTCCAGGGGCGCAGCAGCCGGCAGAGAGGCCTCTGCGGCACCGATGCCTCCCTAAGTGGCTTGACTCTGCCAGCCCAGCGGTGGCCCAGCTAAATTTACCCCGGCTGACGTCAAGCACTCTTCTGCTCCTGGGGTTTTTCTTAAGCTGCATTTATAGTTTGCGTATTGCTTTGTAAAGATTTCCTTTTTTTTTTTGCTCCTTAGCAGACTGTCTTATTGAGTGTACTCGGACTTAGATGATTATAAAAATAATTTACAGCTGCTGCATTAGGAAGCTGGCATGTGTCCAGAGGCAGGGGCGTTTTGGTCAGTGTCGGTCTTTCGGTGAAGAAAACTTCCCTCCCCTCCCCCGCAAACACGCACATGCACACTCATGCTCACACATGTACACACATGCACACACATGTACACACACACGCATGCACACACTTGCACACACGTGTACACATACGCGTTCCTTCTCCTTTCCACTTCATTTCTCACCACCTCCAGAAGGCCAAGGCAGAGGCTACCTGGGCTGGGCTGGGCAGGGGGGTGTGAGCTGCCTCCTGGGGCCCAGCCTGGGAGGAAGGGTCAGCATGCTTCCTCTGCGAGGAGGCCTGGCTGGCTTATCTCCCCAGCCTCTGGCTTACCTGGGCCTAACCCCTTTCTTCTCTTTCTGGGCTCTCTTTGTCTCTCTCCTAGGCCAGGGCAGTCCCTGAGGAGGCCCCCCTAGGCCACCCCCTAGATGGGCAGGAGGAGCTTCCTACCCCACCCTCTTCCTGTCAAGCTGGGCTCTGCAGCTCCCCAGTGCTGCTCCTTGGGTTGGGGCCCCAGCCTGGCTGGTAACAGAGGGTCCTTCCTATGGGCTCGGGCTTCTGAGCATGCTCTGCCCCCGGGAACCTGGAGGATGGAAGTTACCAGCCTGGCTGGTAACAGAGGGTCTCTCTGCCGGGCTTGGTCCTCTGAACATGCTCTGCCTCCGGGAACCTGAAGGATGGAAGTTAGGGGGCCCCGAGTCACTTCCAAATGCCCTCCTCCCTGTCTCTTCTGCCCCGGCAGTGATGCCCCACATCTCTGTGTCTACCTGGAGACCTCAGCCTTCTGCTTGGGGTCCAAGTCTCTGTCCCATATGCCCCTGTGGGACCCTCCCTCCATGGCAGCAGGTGCAAAGGCTGTGAGGCAGGTGTGCACCAGTGTCAGCAGGAGCAGCTGGGAGGCCGGTTGGTGAGGTGAAGTCAGGGAGGGTGCGTGTAGGAGGATGATGCTGAGCCTGAGTGTCCCATGGCTCGTGGGAGAAAGGATGGAATTTATCAGAGTGTCCCATGGCTCGCAGGAGAGAGGATGGATTTTATTCTAAGCATGATAAGAAGCAGTTGGAGAGTTTTAGTTGTGGTGGGAATGGAGGGGGAACCAAATGATCCTGTTTGTACTTGGAAGGGTTCACACTGCCTGCTGGGGAGAAGGGCTCAGGGGCCAGGAGTGGAGTAGGAGGCTGCAGCTGCTCCCAGGTGCGGGGCAGTGAGGCGTCACGGGGGAAGTGATCGGATTCACAGGTGACATTTGCCAGTAGACAAGGGAACAGGGAGAATTCAGGACACCTCAAGTCCTAGGACATGGCGGGTGCAGATGCCAGGTGCCATCTATGTGTTTCATATGAAAAGGTAAAAAGCAGTTGGAGGGGACCCTCTGCAGCCTCTAGTCATGCTGCTCCAGTTGTTCCGAAGCGCGCTTGCTCACCTTGGTTTGGCCAGGACAGATCATCAGGGTCAGCCCTTTCGTTCTGGTAGGAATTGGAAGAATTCTAGGCAGGTGTGGGAGTTGAGACTGAACCCCCTGAGGGATCAGAAGCTGGCAGGTCCCCGGATGGCCCGGGATTAGGGCAGCACTGCGGGTTTCCATAAACACTCCTTCGTGTCTCTCTTTGCATGTCCTCAGAGCGGGATGCCTTCGACACGCTGTTCGACCACGCCCCGGATAAGCTCAGCGTGGTGAAGAAGGTGAGCTATTGGTGGGATGTTGGATGTGCTCTCCCATGGCTCGCGGCTTTTTGACAGCACAAATGCCTGCTGGGAAGAAGGTGGGAAAATGTTTGGAATCTCAGAAATGTTTGCCACATGGATTGAAATGTAATTACAGTCAAAAACGTAACCACAGTGCATAAAATTAGCGCCTTTTAACTCAACATCGCTGCTCCCTGGGTATCTTCCTGCCCGCCCTCTCCACTTCTGTTAAGTGAATTACCCAGCCAGCAGTTCTTTCTGACTCGAGGCCTGTCTTCAATGTGGAAATGTTTTTAAGCATGTCAGCCTGCTGCTCTTGCTGGCCTTGTTACCATCCACAGCCTGCCCAGTAAACACGCAGGCCTGTGCGGCTGAGCCGTGCCATTGATGGATTTGGCCCGTTTCCCTCCAGACAGAGAATGGGCCCTCACTAGCCCAGGCAGCCTGCCGGTCAATCTGTGGGTGGAAAAATCTCCAAGGCTCTGGAGTTGGGGGTGGGAATGATCAGTTTCTGGGGGATCTGCCAGAGAGGCTTGTTCCCCTCAAAAGGAACTGGGGCCCACTGGCTGCTCAGTAACTTATCCGAGTGCCTGCAGGCATCCCATTCAGGAGGCTGCTTCCCTCCTTCCCATGACGTTGGAGGAGCACTCATTGCTACCCATGGTACAGGTGAGAGAGTTCTCCTTTGTCTAGGACACCTTACCCAAATGCTTTCTTAGTGCAGGACTTGTCAGAACCTTTCATAGGCTGACGTATACTGTACTTCTCCAAGAGGGAGCTTGGTAGGAAGCATTTTCCAAAATTGTTTGTTGAGAGTGGGCTTCATTTATCCATCAGTTTTGGGGTAGGATGCCTTGTATTTCTGTGGAACCCTCTTTTGGAAAATGTTGGCCTGGGGCTGGACCACAAGATCATTCGTTCTTGGAAGCATTTTGCAAAAGGCTGTTGGAACTGTGCTAACGGTCGTTCTGGGACGAAGCCTTCTTAGCACTCTTGGGTGGTGAGGTATATGCTAGGAGCCTCAGAGTCCCCCATTTCCACCCCATCACATGTGGCCCCCAAGGACCCTGACACAACCGGTTCAGGGAGTGAATCAAATCCAGCTCCCGACTTATCAGCTGTGTGACCTCCGGTGAGGGGCGAGATTATACCCCCCAGCCTCAGTTTCCCCATCTTTCAAGTGGGGACAGAGATGTTACCCACCTCTCAGGTCCCTGTGAGGATAAACTGGGATTCTGTCTGTGCATGGGCTTAGCCTGCAGCGTATGGTCACTGGTAGCATTGAGAATGGTGTGGCCTGAGGTTGCTTTCATCTCTCAGTGGATACCATGTTAATTCATTCTGAGAAAGACACATTTTCAGCACTGGAGCCACCAGCAAGGAAGAAGACAGAATCCTTTGACTTGCCTGATAGCTTTCCTCACCTCCACATTGCAAGTTTAGGTGTTTGTGGCTCTCTGTGCCCCAGAATGAAGTCAGGAGTCCCTGCCCACCTCTGCAGGTTTCTCCCTGGGTCGTCCCCTCCTACTCCTTCCCATCCCACCCACATCCAGCCACAGCCTGAAGACCCCAAAGGGTTTGCAGATGTGCCTGGGTACCCACTCGGCTCACTCTCACCTTTCACTCGCCTACCCTCAGGCCCAGCTCCAATGCTCCCTCTCCATGGTCTTAACGGGGGTCCGCACACATCTCCTCTGTGGCTCGTGAAATCTCCCCTGCATTTCGTGTTTCCCTGCAGTACCGTATCTCTTGATGTCTCCATCCCACCACTACATGCATATGGAGAATTACAGGCCCTTTGGCGGGGGCCGGGGGTGGAGCTGTCTGACTGTGTTTGTGTCCTTAGTACCAAGCAGCATGCCGGGCGCATAGTAGCTGCTCAGTAAATTTGAGCAGAATGGGTAAGAAATCATATCATGCGCAGTGGTGGGTAGTATTGACTTTCCATCAAAGTTGGGTTTGGTCACTGAGGAATTACAGGTGACAGTTTTTAAGCCTGTGCCAGAGAGAAGCCAGTGCCCCTTGGTACCTACATAATAGGGCTCAGAAAATTCCCACAGCCCAGAGAGATCACCCTGGGTGGATCTCCCCATGTATTGCAGATCGATAGGTGGGCTGGGTGCGGTGGCTTACGCTTGTAATTTCAGCACTTTGGGAGGCCAAGGTGGGCAGATCACCTGAGGTCTAGAGTTCAAGACTAGCCTGACCAACATGGAGAAACCCCATTTCTACTAAAAATACAAAATTAGCCGGGCTTGGTGACAAGGGCCTGTAATCCCAGCTACTTGGGAGGCTGAGGCAAGAGAATCACTTGAACCGGGGAGGAGAAGGTTGCAGTGAGCTGAGATTGCGTCATTGCACTCCAGCCTGGGCAACAAGAGCGAAACTCTGTCTCAAAAAAAAAAAGAAATTCAGTAGGTGTGGCTGGAGGCAGCACTTCCGCTCAGTCTTCTGAGTGCCGTTTACTGTTCCAGGTCACATCTAAGATACATTTGCAAATGTAATGCTCCTCCCCTGGCAGTTTCATCTTTCTTAAGAGCAGGGAGTGCTCTCCAGTGTGATTGTTAAATATGGCACACGTGCACAGATTGGCATATGTGTGCATGGGTTGGTGAACAGAGACATGTGTAGCCAGGATAGATGTGGGCATTATGCCATGAAAACTCGGGGCTATTGTCGGGATGTTGCATTTGAAACATGGGCTTTTTATTTTAGCAAACAGGAGATGATGAAAGCGTTTCCCAGAGCCGGGGCTGGCAAATGTCAATCCTGCCCCTCCAGATGGGACCTGCACGCGGGCCGTTCACGGCTCCTGTGTCTCTTTTGTTCTTGGCAGTCTCTCATCACTTTTGTGAACAAGCACCTGAACAAGCTGAATTTGGAGGTGACGGAACTGGAGACCCAGGTATGCGCTGCTTTGGCTTGAAGGATCCTTTGTCCGCCGCCGTTTTCAGTCAGCGTTTTGATCCCAGGTGGGGCGCGTGAACAAAGCTGGCGCCATTTTGTTCCTCTCACAAGGAATTCCCCCCAATGGTGCCGGCAGAAATAACCACCGTAGCCTTCTCGGCCCCTCTGTCTTCCTTTCCTGGGGCTGCCGCCACACAGCGCTACAAACCAAGCGGCTGAAATCAAGGTGGGGTCTGGGTGGATTGCCTCCACGGCTGTGAGGAGGAGCTGTTCCTGGCCTCCCTCCCAGCTTCTGGGGTTTTGCTGGGATCTTTAGCATTCCTTGGCTTGTACATACATCACTCCCTTCTCTGCCTTCATCTTCATGTGGTGTTGTCCTTGTGCGTGTGTCTCTGTGTCCAAATGTCCCCCTTTTATCAGGACGTGGTCATGCTGGATTAGAGCCCACCCATGACTTCATCCCACCCTGACCGCATCAGTGTAAACCCTGTTTCCAGATATGGTCACACTCAGAGGTCCTGGTGATTAGGGTTCCACTGCATTTTTTTTAAGACAGAGTCTTGCTCTGTCACCCAGGCTGGAGTGCACTGGTGTGATCTTGGCCCACTGCAACCTCCACCTTCCGGGTTCCAGCGATTTTCCTGCCTCAGCCTCCCGAGTAGCTGGGAATACCGGTATGTCCCATCGTGCCCAGCTAATTTTTGTATTTTTAGTAGAGACGGGGTTTCACCATGTTGG